AATGATGAGTTTATATGTGAATTGGCTTCTCAGTTTTATTTTTTAATGTCGTTTTACTAAAGACTATAAACAATAGAAAGACAGAGATAGCTGCATCTAAACAACTGGAATGAGAGATTGCAACTGGGCACAAAGTGCTTGGGTTTGAGGTCTCCAGAAGTCAGGTTTACACTTTGGGTTACATAGCTTTGGCTGACCAATTAGAGACTGGTAAAGGAGCACTCAAAAGATACACACTTTCCTATTTTTGAACTCTAGGTGAATTTAAGGGACATGAAAACATTTCATTACTTTACATAATAATAGAGTACTAAAGTACCCATACTTAGTGCCTCTCTCTCTCTCTCTCTCTCTCTCTCTCTGTCTCTCTCCCCTCCCACTCTGAGTGAGTTCTTCCCCAGGCCTCACCTCAGAAATAAACTGCTTTGAAAACCAAACAGTAAGGATTAAAAGATTAAACCACCTTGAGATGAACAGAGCTGTACATTTTCTTGACTGTATGCAGAGTAGAGTTAGCTACTGTTAATGACAGGAGAAATAATTATAGAGGTAAATAATAAAGTCCAATAGTTAAAACCAGTGTGCCTGTGACCCTTCACAGAATGATCTGCTGGCCAGGGTTTCAGTTTGTAAAACTTTTGAAAATCTAAAAATTGCTAAAACTATAATGAAACTATGCAAAACTATAACCTGCTTTTACGTTGGCTGCAGAGTTCGAGGACTTGGGACAGATGGATTTTGTTGGAGTTTTAAACTAGTTTTGCAAGAAATAATGTCAGAAAAAGTTAAGTGAGGCCAGTGTGATAGATCTCAGAAAATGTCGCAAAACTGACAGCTGCACTCCAGAAATTCTAGGGGCAAACACAGCTCAGTAAACTATGGTTCTGCCTTCTTTTCCTCGCAGAAGACACTGTTCAGGTAAACATTTTTTAGTCCCATAATGGAACATTTTCTGAGTTTTTTTTTTTTTTTTTTATCTGAACAGCATCCTATACGATATTCATTCAGAGTTTTTAAAGAGAATTCTGGAGACAAAGCTGATAACTGGAACTTACTGCAGTTAGCATCTTTTGCGGGGTTACTGGGGATTGAACTTGGGTCTTTGGGCTTGCAAGGCAGGCCACCAAACCTCTGAGCTAAATCCCCACCCCTAGCAGTTAGCATCTTAAGTAAAAAGACAAACAGCAATTGCAAATATGTTCCCCAGGAAAAAAATAAATACAATTTTAAAATTTTTTATTTTTGTGAAGACCGACTGTTCAAAAGCATATGCATATGCATATGCATATGTTAACATGGGCACACTCCAAATTTCTTCCTAAAACAAGGCTTGCTACCTGTGAGCATCGAAGTTCTGAACTCTTCCATTTATTCTGCCACTGGATGTCGGCTGCATAGGGAAACGTGCTCCTGACCATCCACCCACCTGAGCCACTTTTCTAACCACTCCGAATTTATTTCCTTTCCAGTTACTATTTTCCGAATTGGGGAGAGCCTGAATCACCCCTGCACTGATTCTAAATCTGGCGATCCAGCCATTACCCTAAATCCCTCTTGGGAATACTAATAACCTCCTGAATCCCAGTAATGCGAGATCACCCACGGTGCTGTGCTTTGGCTTTTTTCAGTAAGGGAATGTGCTGGGCTAGGGTTGCTTCTCGGTGGTACGGCACTTGCCTAACACGGAGGAGACCCTCGGTTTGATCCTCAGCCCTGCAAAAGGGAAGCCTGGGCCCCACGTAAGCTTCACTCCCTCTCCTTGGGCTACCCTGGCCGGGCTGCCACCCGTGGGGTCCCTGGGGCCCCAGAGGCCTGGAGGTCAGCGCGCTGCTGTCAGTCCGCCTTGGCTTGGGAGTCTCATTTCGGAAAGGCATCGGCAAATCTTCTCGCCTCTCCTATCCTCTGGGGAGCCGGACCCTCCTGGTGACAGTTCAGCCAGGCCTGGGGCTCTGCGCGTCGGCGGAGGAGGCTGAGATCGAGGCTCGGATCGGTTTTCAGGACCAGTCTGCCCTTCGGACCCGCATCCCGGGCCTCGACTCTGCGCGTCTACACCGCAACCCCACTCCGCCCTGGCTCCCTAGTTCCCGCTCTCTGCCTCGCACAAAAGTCCCCCGAAGATCTCGACACCCCTCCACCCGAGAGAGCTCCCCACCTCCCTCAACCCCCAGACTCCACGCTCCTGCCCGCCCGTTTGACCCCATTTCTCGTGCAGAGCAACCGCCCGAGGACCCGCGCACTAATCAGATCCGGCTGTGCGCGCGGCTTCACCTGGGCCCGGGCCCCGAGGGTGGATGGGCTGGACCGGTCCTCGGCAGGGCTGGGGGAGGGGACCCCTAAACTACAGACCGGTGCCTCGCGGCTAGCTGCCCGGTCCCCGCGGCGAGGAGGACA